AGTCACCACAAGATAAAGGTAAATAACCCAAATGAAAAATGGGCACAGGATATGAACACAGACACTTCACCAAAGAAGACATTCAGATGGCAAACAAGCACATGAAGAAATGCTCAAAATCCCTAGCTCTGAGAGAGGTGCAAATCAAAACAACTATGAGATATCATCTCAACCCAGTCAGAATAGCAAAATTTAACACAACAGAAAACAAAAAATCCTGGTGACATTGTGGAGAAACTGGAACCCTTATTCACTGTTGGTGGAAGTATAAAATGGTGCAACCACTATAGTAGACAATATAGCACTTTCTTAAAAAGTTGCAAACAGAAATGCCATTTGGCCCAGCAATTCCACTACTGGGAATATACCCTAAAGAAACCATATCCGCCACCCAAGCAGATATATGCACACCCATGTTTATCACGATCACGACTTTGTTCACAATAGCAAATAATTGGAAACAACCTAAGTGCCCATCAACAAATGAATGGATAAAGAAGTTGTGGTATATTCACATAATGGAATACAACACTGCATTGAAAAATAAGAAACTCATGAAATATTATTCAAAATGGGTGACCCTGGAGGACATTATTCTGAGTGAAATATCTCAGTTACAAAAGGACAAATACTGCATAGTGCCACTGTTGTAAAATGGGACTGATATCAGGGTTGGGGAGAGACTGAGAAAGATGGGATAAATAATGTATACTGCATTGAAACAGATGAGGGAGAGAACTGTTTAAAAGGGATATGTGATTAGGTATCATTGTCATAACAGGAGTCCAGAACAAAGGCTGCATAGTGGAGTGGATTTGGGGGGAAGAATTGTATAACAATGAAAGAATTTTTCTTTTTTAAAGAGAAGAGCGGACTGTGTGGGAGGGGTGGGCAGGGAGAAAAGTGCAACAATGAATGAATGGAAATCCAAAGTCTCTTTAAATTTTCATTAAAATAGACGTGTCCTGTTTTATCTCTTAAAGTCTACACACAGACACACACATTTTCTCTTGCTCTCTCCCCCCTCTCCTTGTCTTAGCTTCAGATCAGTTCCAAATATACAAACTTTTTATTGACAAAGCAAGAGATGCTCAGGGCACAACCAGGCAAAGAACAACTTCGGTATTCATTTAGAGCCACTGTGCATTTCTTAGAAACATTTCCTCTTTCACACATTAGCAGTATACCAGTTTCTCAAGTCTCTTTATCTGGGGAATGCTGGTTTTAATCTTACAATGTCACCATAACTTGTACATCAAGGCTCATACTGAGCACTGTCTTTTTGACTCTTGGTTTTTAAATTACACATTCTTTCTCCTTACTGGAAAATCCTCTATATAAAGAGCCATTTCCCAAGTCCTTCATTTCCAGGACATCAAAAGCACTTTTAGTCAATGATTCAATTATACATTACTTCCTTAATGGCCACAGCCCAAATCTATTAACACTAGTGGCACAGTCTTTTCTCAATTCAAAAGAAAAGCTATGTGAAGCAGAGTCAGCTCAAAGTACCTACCTACTTCATGCCAGATTTTGACAAAATACTCCTTCCTTAATAGAGTTTGCATTCCAGTGGGAGAAAACAAATAACTAAGTATGTTTTAAGACCAATGATGATGAGTGCTATGGGGAAAAAAATCAAACAAGCAAGTGGGATGGCAAGGAAGAAATGTGGGAGGTTCACAATTTCAGGCTGTGGTTTGGGAAGGCTTCCCTGGGCACATCCACTAGCCATGCTTGTTACTGGATAGTAATATAGGCTAAATATTTTCTATTAAGCTGCACTACAGTCCACTATAGTTCAGTACTTAAAGCTCTTAGCTCTTAACCAAATGGTCAATGGCTCAAACCCATAGTCACACCCTGAGAAAAAGATGTGGCAATCTCTTTCCATAAAGATTTAAAGACTTGGAAACACTACATGGCAGGTCTACTCTGCCCCAAGAGTTGGAATTAGTGTCACGACAACATGAATAAGTTTATAGTGATATTTTAATTTCCAGCCAATCTGTAAAATTAAATTGGACTCAGGTAATTTCTAAAGTTTAATAAAATTGCTGTCATTTATCGCATCACACTATCTCCAGTCTATTATGATTTATCTTGAGTTTTCTATTATTTTCTTAGAAGGTGACAGCACCAACCATAAAATTAATATTTTAAGCAAGAATATAAATTCAAAGGGAGCTCCGGTGGCCTAGTGGCAGGAAGATGCACTGCAATCCCAGAGATATGCGGTTCGAATCCACCAGATGCTCTGCTAGAGAAAGAGAGGCAATCTCCTCCTATATCAGTCAGATCCGATTTGACGGTACACACATACACAAAATAATAATTTTTTTTAAAAAAGAATATAAATTCAACAGTCTACAGACCCTTGGACTATAGAAGAGTTTAAAATCAGAAGCACTTGACATATATAAATTGAGCAGTTTGAAAAGGAGTCTTAACAGTCTTGACATGTGTTTAGAGTACAGGCTGAACTTTAAAGCTGCCTTTTTTTTTTAACAATACTTTCTCTAATCTTGTGCCTACCTACCATTACCCTATATACAGGAGACATTATTTTCCTCTAAAGTTTTGCAGGTGCAGGATACTATAATCTTTTCCAAAAGGATCCCTTCACTACAGTCAAGCAGATAGAAGGTATGATAACTTATAAATTAAGGGTTCTGATGCACAGAATTGCTAATAAGTCTTTACAACTGAACTACAGAAAGAGATGTAGTTAAGAAACCGATTTCTTTCTAGTGGGCTACCTGAAAGGCCTAGTCTGCCATTATCCTGTGCCCATTCTGTAATAAACTGAAGTATGCAGATGCTTTAGCCTATCACATAATCACACTTAAGTGCTACCAACCTATTGTCATTGTTGTTGTTGTGTGCCATCAAGCCAGACTGACACATAGCTGACCCTCCAGTGCTTTTTTGGAGGCAGTAAATAGCATCCTTCTCCCACAGAGCAACTAGTGGATTCAAATGCAATGGCTTTGAGAATGCAGTGCAGCTTCTTAATGGCAGGCCACCTGAGCTCCCTGCTACTCACCTATTCACCACAAATTTCCACATTTAGACAGTCTGCATTTGACTCTCCTCATTGTCTTCTAGCTAGTTTCGGTTTTATAACTTTTAGTTCCTGCTCCAGCTAGACAAAAATGTTTTCTTCCTCATTGTCCAGCCAAGTGGCCATCTGTTTGAATTCAGAGATCTTCCTGGTGGGGACTGTCTCTATCTCTCAATAAACCTCTTTGTTTTTATTTTAAGGAGACTCTTTGATGATGCTCTACAAAAGAATCCAATGCCAAATATGTGTCTGTTGTTTAATTTTATAAACTAAGTCATTAACTTTGCTTGTCATTTTCAAGAGGTTTTTGTTTTGATTATTTAACAACTGGAGTTCCACAAGAGAATTAAATTTTAAAACTCTAAGACCAACAGCATCACCAAGGGACTGAGTTATCATATTTTCCAACGTATAATGCACCCACATAAATCATGCACACACATATATCCAATACATATAGCACATATAAGAAACTAACATGTCAGGGGGTTGCACAATTACAAAAACCATATCATGTGTGCTGTTTTTGTGAAAAATCCTGGTAACTTCTCTATAACGCAGCAATAGCTAAGTATTATCATCTCTGGGTGAAATGAAAAAAGACATCCAAAGAATTGTCTATAGGTCAGAATTTTCTCATAGAACCGCGCATGAGAAAAGCTGGAGGCCATCTGATATGAGCTAGGCCTTAGCTAAATATTATCTTTTTAAAAAAATGATTAAATAAGTTGATAAAACCTTCATGCCAAATAAGGTAATTCCGTATTGGACCACCTATACAATTCTGAAAGAAATTCTGTCATTAGTGATACAGTTAAGAAATTTATGCTAGTAAATGCAATGCACAATAGTTAATACTGGTTTTAAAAACATACAGTCTTATTCGATGCTATCAATGAAGACAAGTGCTGAATCACAGAAATGTTGCTTTTGCTCGTGTTTCAGATAACCTGTGGTATAAATCAATCTTGAGAATCAAGATCTGTGTTCACTATCCCACTGTGCCACCTGAGTTTCCTCCCCAGAATCTTTTCGAGGTAATCATTAATTCACAGACAACTATCAAGGAAGAGAGCCCAAGGGCTCTGTCCTCAGTGAACAACTCAGAACAAGTTCCCTCATTCATTTGGCCGGTGTCTTGAGACAAATAAGGAGAAGCCAAAGAGCAGTTACGAATTGCCAGCATTACTGAGTCATGTTACTGACTAAACCCGCCTTATGAGATGGAAAGAATGACAAGCCCTGGGGTTTATCACCACAGATGTTGGCTCCCTGGATTTAGGAGTCCTAGATTTTTAAAAGGGGGGGGGGACCCAACCTACACAGCAAAACAACTCTGAAAGAATGATGTCGGCGCTCAGTGACTTCCAGCAAGAACTTGCGAAAGCTGGGAACTCTGCTATTTACCTAAAACAAATCCCAACTGTGCAAACAAGCACACCCTCTCATGTGTCGGAGCGGAACAATAAATAACAAGGCTCACATTTCACGGAGACTGCCAGCCCCAGCCCTCAAAGTCCACACTGCGCCAGACGCCCTCGGTTAACGGAACCGCGCCGGGTGGCAGCGAGCACCCAGCACCTGGTACGATCGATCCCGACACGAAAACGAGGGACCCGGCTCACCCCCGGAGCCTCCCGGCTCCGCGCAGGGCTGCCCCCGGGAGGGGGATCCCCGGGGGTCCCCCAGCCGCCACCTCCCCCGCCACCCGCCACGTTCCTCCTGGAGTCACCAAGAAGGCTGCCACGCTAGGACAGGTCAGCCTCAGGTACTGCAGGCGACAAGATCTTGGGGTCCATGACCTCTGTCCCGACCCGAGTAGCAAAGCGCTCGGATGAAGCGCAAGGGTCGCCCCCCGCCCAGCTGCCGGTCCCCGCCGCCCCCCACCGCTGAAGCCCCAGGCTGCCTGCTTCCCACGCCCGAAGCTCTGACAGACCTGGAGAGGTGCTTCAGGATCTGTTTCTTGATGATCCCAGCCATGGTGCCGGGGCAGGAGGCGGCCGCGCTCTCCCTCTCAGTGGCTCACTGTCTCCTCTCTTCGTGGTTGGCGCTTGACCGGGGTTAACCGGGCCGGAGGAGAGGAACCTGAGCGTTCACGCCTCGAAGAGAGCCGAAGCCCCGGCCGAGGCCACAGCCGCTGCCGCGAAAGACTCGGAGCATCGCGCTCAGAGCACCGCTGCCGCTGCCAGCGCCATCTTGGCTGCAGCATCACCTAAGAGACCTGGGGGAGGGAGGGGACAGCGCGGGGAGACGGGGCGGGAGTGGGGCGGGGCGAGGACTGAGGTGGGGCGGGGCGAACGTGGACTCTGGGCGGGGCGAAGAGAGGCGTGGAGAACGAGACGAATGTGAGGCGTGGCGCGATGAGCGCCATCTCCAGGAGGGGCGGGTGGCCCGAAGCGAATACGTGGCGGGGCGGGGGGCGGGCGGGTGTGAGGGGCGGGGCGAGCGAAAGGGCGAGAGGGGCGGGGCTGACCGGTGTGCTTTAGGAGAATGCGAGGAGAGAGGCGAGTGCAAGAGGGGTTTGCATAGACTTCCCACAAGCCGAGAGGGGTCTAGCTTCCTCCTCCTAATTTCTGGCATTGGTCTTCCCCTGTTCTGATGCTTTATCTCATTTCCCGAACTTAGCGATATTTAGCCCTTCCTCCTACAGCCTCTGCTTTTGTTCCACCTTCCACCACCAGACGTTTGTTCCTTTCGCTACTTCTCTTTTTAATTTCTGCAGAATTTTTCAGTTCCACACAGCTGTTCTGGTTGCTTTGTTCTTTGTATACTCAGCTTTCTTCATTTCTGTCTTCTAAAGTACTCTGATTTCCCCCAACTATTATTTTTGTTAGGTGCCAGCGAGTTGACTACAACTCATAGTGCCCCTAGGAACAAGGGACCTGAACCCTGGCCTATCCTGTGCCATCGTCATCATCATCTCTAACATACTTGAGCCCACTGCAGCAGTCACTGTGCTAATCCATCTAGCTGAGGGCCTTCCTCTCTTTGACTGACCCTTTTACCTTTACAAGCACCATATCCCTCTCCAAAGAATAGCCTTTTCTAGCAACATTCCCAAAGTATGTGAGACAGTGTTTTGTTATACTTGTCTCCAAGGAGTATTCTAGCTGTACGCTCTCCAAAACATACCTGTTTGTTCTTTTCGCGGTCCATGGAATATTCAGCACTCCTCTCCAGCAACATATCTCAAAGGCATCAATTCTTCTTCTGTGATTCCCCCCTCCCCTGTTAACTGTAATTTAGTGTGTCCTTGGGTTGTTGTTGTTATGTGCCATCGAATCGTTTGCGACTCCTAGCGACCCTATGTACAAGAGCCCTAAACGCCGTTCTATCCTGTGCTACCCTCGCTGTCTCAAACACATTCATTCCCACCACTCCACTCACAGAATCGATCTATCTCATGGAGGGTTTTCCTCTCCTGCGCCGTCCCTCAACTCTACCAAACATGATGTCCCTCTCCAAGGACCAGTCCCTCTAAAACAAAATAGAAACAAACTCAAGCTCACTTCTTTCAAGTTTTGAACCTCTCTTAGACCCCTGGTTCTATTTACTCTAATAAAGTGCCTGGGAGGTTTAACTGCGTTAATGAAAAGAAGTATTTAGCAGAGTTTGTTACACGATGGATTGTTGTTGTTGTTAGTGGCCATAGAGTAAATTCTAAACTCATGGAGATGGCATAGCTGGGCAGGGCTCCTTGGGGTTTTCTGGCTATGACCTTGTGGAAGCAGATCATCAGACCTGTCTCAAAAAACACCTCTGAGCTGGTTTGAACTACAACACTTTTCAACTAGCAATAGAGCACTTAACTGTGCCATTTTTAATTGAATAGGCAGGATTTAGGCAGATGCAACACCATTATGAAAAAGAATAGAAGTGGAAAAGTTCACTACTACAATAATTTTTTCAGCTAACTTAAGGAATTGGGGAGGGGGAGCCTCAAGAATTGATGGAATATCAATTGAGATATTTCTACAAAGAGATGCTGCCCTGGACGTGCTCACCAGCTTGTGCCAAGAAATGTGGAGGACACCTACCTGATCAACTGAATGGAAGAGATTCATATTTATTCACATTCTCATACTGAAACAAAATCTTACTGAAAATTGTCAAAAATTACTGGATCAGTACAACAGAGAATTGACAAAAATACTAGCTGGGTTTTTACAAGGCTGTGGCACTAGGGATATCATTGACAATGCCAGATTAGGTCTTGACTCAAAACAGAGAGTACCCACCACAACAAGATAAAGGTAAATAATCCAATAGAAAAATGGGCACAGGATATGAACAGGCACTTCACCGAAGACGACATTCAGATGGCTAACA